GTCTAATATTCAAGTTTAAATTGTCTTCTCCCAAACTTTTGGTAAAATTGGCTTCAGGCTATACATGAGTATGAGTGGTTCTGATAGGATCCTAATAAGGAAATTAAAAAAAAACCCAGCAGTAATGATTTTTAAAAAAGAGATGCCGTTTACTGAGTGTTTAGTATGTCCCAGGCATTGTGCTAACACAGATGGCTATACTCTCTCTGTCATAGTCACCCAGTGAGACAGATATTATCCCCCTCCTTTTAGGAAAGAAGGCTGAGGCCCAGAGAGGTTAAGTAACTCACTCAACACCAAATACTCAGTGCATGAAAGAGCCAGGATTTGACACCAGAATCCAGGCTCTTTTCATAGCACCGCATTGCTTCCCAGTAATCCTCCCCACTCCATCCTTATAAGGCTGTCTGTCCTCTGGATGCCAACTGACCGTCATTGACAACAACCCACCCCTCCTCTAAGGATGCCTACTTCACAGTCAAAGCACTGTAACCAAATTTTCAGCAGGTGTAAGTCAAGTCTGTCCCTCTATTGTTTCCACCCACAAGTCTTCATCTGCTGTCTGGGCCACTCAGAACAAACCTAACCCTTCTTTTAAGGAGCAGACTATCTAATATTTGAAGATATGTGTAAAATTCTTCTACCATGTTGGACCCTACATAATATGCTTTGTAATAGCAGGCATCTATGAAAGGGATCCTCTCTGAATTGCATGTGGCTTTAGTCCCAGCCACTGAGAACACTACCTGGTTCTTAAAGTAGGCATTCAGCAAGTATTAATAGAATGGATGAAAGAAGGCCACATTTGGAGAGTACAGAGGATGGTTGGTGGGGCAGCAAACATCTAAAAGAGATATTACCCTCTGACCTCTTTCAATACATGTCTCACAGTCCTATGTTCATACTGCTTCCTCTAAGATATTTTTACCAAAATTGTAACAACCATGGTAACAGATATCTGAAACAATTGCTAGAGGCACCACTTTTGGAGAATATGTTCAAATGCTGCTTCCACCTCATCCCCTCAACTACCTACACTTGTTCCCAGGTGTTCAATGTTCTCCTTCAAGCCAAACCTGCAGGACTAATGAAACTGAGGAAGTCATCTGTTAGATCCTCTAAACTATAACCTGTGTAATAAATAATATCATGTCACCTGCCTTCACTGATCAAACTTGCCTAAATTGTCCTTGCAAACTGCATAACTTCCAAGCTTCACATAGCTTAGACAATATAAGACTCCCTTAACATATAGACAACCCCTCTGAGATATGGGTCACTAGGGTAACGGTTGCCAAAGTTGTTCTTCAGGAACATGGAGCTAGTCTTGCCCAGTTCCAATTTGTTGAGACCACCAACCATTCCACTGGACCTGCTGGAATGCAGGATGGATGACCTTTTGACATCAGAAGGTCAAAAACTCCACCCTCAGATTATACTAACCCTGCCTTTTTCTGAACATGCATCCCAAGAAGAAGCATATAGCACAGTGTGCCTGTGCAGAATGCCAATTACTCCACCTTTTTCTTACCTCCAGCCACCTTTCCCCAGGCCTCAGGCCTCCCTGCTTCTTTCTCCCATAAATATCCCAAGCCCCTTGCCTTAGGGGAGGTGGGCTTAACATTTGTTCTTCCTTTCCGTCACTTTGCTGTAAACTTCAATGTCTCAGCATTTGGCTTGCTGTGCACTGGGCAAACGAATCTCCTTCAGTAACACTAACACACACTAAAAAGAGATTCTCATCTCATTTTTCATATGTATCATATTTTTATACAATCCAAGACCTGACCACCATGAAGAAATGAATTGTTATTCTATACCAGGAACTCCTATGTATATTTATTATTATTATTATGATTATTATTATTATTAAATATGTAATAAAATACTTTTTAAAATTGATAAACTGCACACCCATAGACAAGTAATTTTGTTGCGTCTAAGACATACCAAGGCACTGGGGGTGGGTATATGGGGAAGTAGTAGTGGAGAGAAGGGACAGTGGTGATTTTCATTGTAGACTGCAGGCTTTGCAAGCCTATGGAACTAAATCCAAATTAAAAATTCTCTAGCTTTATGTTCACTATTTAGAAATCTGGAAAGGATGGAGCAACCAAACTGTGACATTAAGTCGACAGTTAAAGAGAAGGGCAGAGGGCATAGAAGGACCCTTTAAACACACTGCTGCCCATGCTGAGCATGCCTGTTGATAAGGCCACAAGTTGGGCTGCCAGTTCTCTTCCCCTGGAACTGCAGTCACTGTGATATTATTTAGGGCCACACTCCGCAGTGTTCACCATGGTACCACTCAGGTGCCACTGTCTGGCAAGGGTCGGCTCCTGAATCTCTCTGGGTCTTCCCCTGTAAAGTGTGGGCTTGCATCACAGAGGAAAGTTTCTGGAAAACGCTCACAGGAGGACTCTTTGGTGCCTGGAAGCGGATCGCGGCCCTGTCCTTGAACCTTTCGGCTGAGCCTGGGAGGGCACAGGAAGCAGAAGGTGGGATTTGTTCCCAAAGGGCCTGGGAGTGGGGCGCACCACACCGTGAGTGGGTCATAGCGGCCTAGGGCGCGTCGGCCGCCTGCAGGCC